TAGAAACTAGAGGGCGCCACAGTGGTCATGTGACTCGCTGACGCAACAATATTTTTGTAATGCTGTATGGGCCTGATGTTAGGGCACTCGCCTCGCAGCCTGCAGATCGCGGATTTGAAACCCTGTCACTGATCACGCTCGCCCTTTCAGCCGTGGAAGCATTATATTGTGACTATCAATCCCACTATTCGTTAATAAAAGAGTAGCTCAAAAGTTGGGGGTGGTTGGTGTTGACTAGCTAACTTCCCTCTGGTCTATCACTACTAAATTAGGGACGGCTAGCGCAGATAGCCCTCATGTAGCTTTGAGCGAAATTCAAAAAGAAACGAACAAAAATACAAAGTAATGCTGCATAATATCACATCATGGTGGTTTTGTTTGTTTAGGAAAATTTAGAGCAAAGCTACACCAGATTACGGGGTTTCTTTACTTGTGATTGGTACATGTTTTTCAAGTGTAATTCATATAAGTTCACAAAGAAATAGTTCAACCACAAATATCAGCACGTGTCCTTTCCTTTTCCGTCAGTTATCTTGAAAACATCTACTATGGGGCACAGCCTGAAGGTGACTAGCAGCAAATCGGAATACTGCTTAGGCTTTTCAGTTGTACCCGATAAAAACACTCTCTGATGTAATAGAAGGAATACACACCAATTTGATGGGTTTGGTGATTCGCATCTAGCGAAGAACACGTATCATCATGCAGAAAAATGAATCCGGTAAACTTTGCATATACTAAATGTTTTTTCTGTATAACAAATTGTTGAATTGTATTCATGTTTCGCTTATTAAAATATATTTTTTATCATGAAAAGTGGAAATAGCCAATGATTTGAAACTTTTTACGAAAGTGCTCACTATGGGTATGAAGTAGGCGAGACAATAATCAAAACGTAAAGTGTTTGGGCCATTTAAAAAAGTAGAAGCAATGTAACCAACAGATGATAAAAAAGTACACGTAGCTGCATAACCCGAGCCACTGGAAACGGTAAATACATGTTTATAGTGCAACCTCAGTGGCATTATTAATCCAACTTTAGACACTAATCACGCACCTGTAGAATTATTATAAATGTTGTTAGAAATTCTGTTTAAAAAGAAACTAAACGCAAAAGTCGGAAACAATCTCCTGCATACAAAAGTTAGCATATGCAGTTTCAATCCAATAAATTTTCTTGGTAAGACCTGAAAAAAAGATCTGATAAAAGGCTATTTGTACAATTAGTACAGCACAAATTTTGGGATAAAAGCAAAACACAGACAACATCAAAAGCATGACTCAGGACATCACGGACATTACAACCTATAAATAAATAAATATATACATACGCACACATATGGCAAACGTATCTTTTTTCAATCTCCCCTCCCCTAGTAACACTGACCTCACATTCTCAAGTAACATGCATCCGCCATTCTCGATAAACTAGGCCTACCCCTCTCAGATATAACTAGCTCATCATCCTCGAGTAAAAGTCACTCACGCAAGTTGCGTACTACCGCAAATATAAATAGAAAAGGTCTTATCTTCAATTAATTACACTAAAATACTGAATTGTACATCTTTACATGGCGCTATTATCTGATGGGCTTTCCGCGAATCTACTTATACTGGTAGAAAAACAGGCCGAAGAACGAAGACAAGTCACGATGTACTATTCTACTTTATAGTGGTTGACAGAACCAGCCTTGCGTCTTCCTCGTTGCGATTCTCTTGGAATCATATCAATAATGACCGTTGACGTGTAGGAAATATGTGTAGTTAAGCGAATTAGCGTGGGAGGGATTTCTAATTCTTTTCTTCACAGCCTTGAATGATCCACAAACTTCGTTAAATGGTCACAAGTAGGGGTAGTGGGGAACAGGAAAACACAAGTTTTGAACTTTTTCTTAATTGTTTTGTGTGTGTGTGTGTGTGTGTGTGTGTGTACAGAACTA